CAGCTTGTTGATGATGTTCATGTTACAAGGTCACTACTTAATTTTACATCAACAAACAGGGTGGAACTTTGTTCACTAAGGGTTTGCTATGTGGCATGGTGCACAGATCACGTCTTATCCATCATTGCAATTCACCTATCCAGTGAATACAGCCTTTGTATGCATGCGCTCAGCACAGCTGAGCAGGTACCATACAACTGGGCAGTGGGCACTGAAACCAGAAAAAAGACTTTAGCAATTTTCTCATCCAATCACCCCCTCTTCTCCAAAAACTGTTGTTGATCTACAGTTATACACATTTCCTTATACACGATGTTGTAAAAAATTTTTAAGAAGATCTCGCATGGTCTACCAATTCTAATACCATGCGTCATTGTAAGGTATTTCAGTAACTTGTATCTGGGGCATATGGCACACAAGTACACATAATGAAACCCTGACTGCATGGTTTTAAATAAAAAGCAGCTGTAAAGGTAAAGGTTTCCCTTGCTTGAGAGCTAGTTGGATCTGACTCTAGGGGCAGTGCTCATCTCTGTTTCCAAGCTGAAGAGCCAGCGCTGTCCGAAGACATTTTCATGGTCGTGTGGCCGGCATGACTAAATGCCAAGGCGCACTGTTACCTTCCCACTGAAGCAGTACCTATCTATCTACTTGCAATTTCTTGCTTTCAAACTGCTAGGTTGGCAGGAGCTGGGGCCAGAGATGGGAGCTCACTCCCTCACACGGCACTAGGGTCTCGAACTGCTGACTGCTGAAGTACAGACCTTCTGATATGCAGCTCAGCGTCTTAATCTCTGAGCGACGCAGCCCCTAAAAAGCAGCTGTAGGAGGAGGCAATTTTGATTGGCAGAGGAATGAGGAAACTGAGAAAGTCGCTTAATCCTTTCTCCGCTGGCAGACTTTCCGTTTTACATCATTCCCCAGCTACATTTCTTATTGCAAGGTTCCAGACATACGTGTATGAATCTGGGGCTGGGGAGCAGCTCGGAAAGGAGTGATTTGGAGAGAGAAACGGTGGGTGGCAAAAGGTTAAACATTCCCTCTTCCAGCTCTTTCTCCATTCTAAATTTCCCTCTCCCCAAAACCTTTGACTTTAAAAAAGTGTTTCCATGTGTAGTTAGCTACCTTTTGCAAACCTGTTTCATTTATAGACATGCTACCACATACTTATTGAAAACTCAACACCAGGTTGTATTGAAATATGTCTAAATTGTACATTAAGGAAAATCTAATGTGGATTGAGACAGAAACTGATTTTAATTTTTTAATTTAATTTTTTTTTTTGCTTTTCACCTCCTCTATTTTAGGGCTCTTCATCTCGTTTACTAACAGCTCAACCCTATTCTGTGTGGTAATGTGCACACAACTATGTCGTAGTTTCAGATTATGCCTGCGCTTGCAAAAGATACATCTAGTCGCTGAGAATATTATGCATTTCTAATAATGCACAGAATTACTGAACAGAAGACATCTTTCATTTTTTCTTCCACCTCATATCTCTGTGCTTTGCTTTTCAAATGGAAGGAAGCGAGGTCTGTGAGAGCAGAGATAATTTTAATTAAATTCTAAACATTGACGTATCTTCCCAGGTAACTTCATAACAATGCAAGTGAAATGCAGGGTTTTTTGAGGCGGTGATGCCATAAAAGGTTTAAGCTATCCTAAACAGTTACTTGCTGGCAGAGCAAATCTGAAGATTAGGCCACAGAATGTATATGCTGTGTGTGTGTGAGAGAGAGAGAGACAGAGAGAGACAGAGAGAGATTCACATTTTATGTTTAGGAAACCATTCCTCTTCTTGGAAAACTGTCTGCAAAAAATGATTTCTTGTTTCCTCGGTCACTCTGTCCCAGTGATATCACTTGTTTTTAACAAATACATGTGCAATGCGAACATAGATTTCCATGATTATTAATTGCAGGACTTGAATTGTTGTATTAGTTGATAGTATGGATTTTATAAAATATGAACAGAAGATCAGAAACAGGGGGATCTGAAACGTGTCCTGTCGCTCTCCGCTGATGAGCAGGGTAGGGAAAAGATAAATTGCATTCCTTCCATGACTGCAATGCAGATCTGACTGTGGGGGTGGTTCCCAGCAAAAGCGGGGGGGGGGGGTGTGAGTGTTCAGCCAATAATAGCCAGCTTTGGGGGTCTAGATTTGAATATGTGGTGTTGATTTGACGTGCCATTTTCTGGCTGCTAAACAACAATAATAAAGAGCCTCTCACTTCTCTCGCTAGGACCACCAGTTTCTAAAGCGTGTATTCTTTGAACAATAAACGATAGTAAATTGAAAAGACTGTTAAGTGATGGATTATCGT